GGGGGGAAACCACATTAGGAGGTTGTTTTTAGGCTTTTTTTACGATTTTGTTTTAGGCGGATAAAATAATTGGAATCTATTTAACCTTTGGTATTATTTTGTTCATATTTTCAACTACATGTGAAATTTTTTTCAAGTCGTTTCCTATAAAAATGTCCAAGATACAAGCTGCCGTCTATCGAAGGTCGTCATCAGAGTTGGTCATTTGCGGGAAATGTGGAGGTCACAGTTTTGATCTGAAAGAAAAATGGCGAATGTTCTGGATTATTGACATGTTTTCTAAGAATATGAACCACTTTGCAACTGAAAATGTTGAAAATTGAATGTTTTAGGGGTGTTTGAAAAAAAGTTTCAATTTTTACCATTTTTGTGCAATTGTTTTGCAATAAAAAACACACTTCTAATTAAGATATCCTTCCGCAGTTTGGTTCATGTTCTTCCAAATTTAATAACAAAAGTTTTCATGTTTGTTATACGATCGGTCAATAATTGTTTGAGCTACAGTTCCCGCAAACGAAGAAAAAGTAGTTTCGAGAAAAACGCGTTTGAAAAAAAATTACCGAGAACTAGAAATTCGAAACAGTATTCAATGAAGTAAAGTGCTTACTGGTTAATCAGCGATTCCAGCACCATACAGCAATCCTTCCTCTTCTTCATAAGCATTATTTAAAGCCTGCATTTCCTCTTTTCTTGCTTTCCGAGCTTCTTTGGTCTCCAAAGCGTTGCGTCTGTTTTGCCGGTTCACGCGCTGCTCATCCATCTGCTGTGCATGATTGAAACTCCGTTGGCCAACTTCAATCTTCAACTCATTCATGATCATCAGAAGTGCCGAATTTCCTTCGTTGAATAAGCCAACAGCTATATATGCGGCTACTTCGACTACTTTCAGTCCACAATGCAAATGTTTCGGAGCCAAGCGCCAAACTGTCGAATTAAAACTTTCATTTGCATTTTGCGTGTGACCTCCTAAACATCTTGACAGTAACTCATCTCTAGACAGATCTTCGTATATTGGTAGAATTGCTTTCTGTACATCAGGGTGCAATGGAGCAGGGTGCGGTTCAGGCTTCGTACCAAGAGCTTCAGCCTGCTGCCACTTGCACCAGCTGTCTACTCCGGTAGGACAATTCTCGTGTCTAGGATTTTCATCTGTTGATATACTATGGAGATAAGTAGCCATAATGTCCTTCTTCATGTCGTCAACATTATTTATATTTCGTCGAATCGCTAAGCCATAATAATTACTTAGTTTTTTTACTAAAGCCTCTGTCAGTTTTCTTTTTCCGCCCAATTTTTCAGCTTTTCTTACATTTCAAAGACGAGTTCCCATTCTTTTCTGAACGTGACCTATGCATTCGCTCTTCACAACTATTAATGTGTCACCATAGGGATTTAAATTGAGAATAGCTGAAAATGTTTTGGAATCTCCATCGCCGATATAATTGCCGTATTTGACGCCATGCAGCTCTTCTGATCTCATAAACATTGCTTTCACAGACTCCACTTCCATGCTTCCTGCAGAACCTTCGTGAGTCTTTGTACAGCTTTCTTCATCGTGTTCTTCTTTCCACGCAAGATATTCCGCAGAATTCTTTGACTTGTTTCTCCAAAACGCGCATGCATGGCAATAACTACTTCTTACATCCAGATCAACGACTTTTCCACAGTAATATGCTACGAGAGTCGTCACGCCATACAGTGATTTGAATCCTCTTTTTTTCCAAGTACCATCTCCGGACACTTTGAAATTCAAAATAGGTCTCTCACGTTTCTCGTTCTCTTGCTTTTCTTCTTCTGCAGCTTTCTTACAGCAAAATTCGAACACTTTCTTTGCAGCTAAATGAATGTGATCATAAACTCTATTGTACGTCTCTTCAGCTATACCATTACACATGTCCATATAGTTGCAGAATAAATTTATTCCTTGTCTGCCAACGCCCAAAAGTCGCATCACGAACACAATCCTGCGATTTATTTCAAATCCAGTATTGACTAACGGACCTGAATTGACTTGTCTCGATCCACAATTACATGTCACTACAAGTTTGAAACCAAGACCCCGGATTCCAGTTTCTTCGAATTTTACATCCTGCTTGCAATTTCGACAAATTAAAAACTCCGACAATGCTGTGAATACAGTGAAAAAATCTATGATACGATAAGAAAGCAAGGGATTCACAATCACATTTTCACTGGTAGCACTATAAAGTTTTTTGGCACTAGAACTTCCGTCAACACTTTCTTTTCTCTGAGTATGTTGATTTCCGTGGAATGATCTCTTACGCGGTTTATTGCGACGATCAATGCTTTTATGGTCACCTTTCGGATAGGAAGACATTTTTCACTCGTTATATCGAATTTGCACGGAGAAGGCCAAAGCAAATCTGAGCAAAACTGACTCCAACCCAAGGTAACTGACGCATCTTCTAAACAAGTTAATGTTTACAAATGCTCACCTCTTAGTGAGCATTTGTAAACAAAAACATTTGGCAAGATCCCGCTCCCCTCTTAATATCTCGTAATAAAGGGGTATTGAGCCAGATAGATAAATAAAAGACTATCTGAGCGACCGCTCCATTTTACTTGCTGCGCGCAGCTATGTTTTCGACCGCCGAACTGAGGGGCAGTCACTTTTGTGCTCATAGCATTGGGACGGATGCGAATTTCGTTTTAAAACATTTGGGAATATATTCTTCGATAGTTGTACTAACAATTTATGCAATAAAAAAAAATCGATTTTTTGAACGGTCTAATGTGTTTTCCCCCCTTAAGCTAATTGTAAAATTGAAGGTGGTAATTATTTAGATTAACACACCCACCTCCAATAACCTTGGGCTTGACATATATTATAGAGTTCACCCTCCTGAGTAACCCTCAGAAGGATTTAGCCGGCGCTCGTTGTTTATTAAAAAGTTATTAAAAAACAATGTCAACCAATTATATGTAATTTTCAGACACAAATATTAAACATTTT